GGTAATAAAATCGAGGGAAAGAAGGAGGAAGGGAAAGGACATTTGGAGTTATGGCATCTGCCATCCCAAGTAACCATTACAGGTGACAGAGCCCTGCTGTTGCGGGGAAATGGCTAACATCTGCCTGCCAATAGGGAATAGTGAATGAACTCATTTTGCTTTGCTTGGACATGCAGCTTTTCCTTTTGCTATTAAACTGTCTTTATCTCAACCCACAAGTTTTCTGACTTTTATTCTTCTGATTGTCCTCCTCAACCCACTGGGCAGGAGTGAGCAAGTGGCTATTTGGGGCTGACATGCCTACTAGGGTTAACTCACAACAGTCATAAATGAAGAAAGATAAACTGGCAATTGTGGAAAGAACATTGACTAATTAAACAAGAAAACTCCAAAACTTCTCCCCCTACACCCCCAAAAAAAAAAAAAAATAAAAAAAATAAAAAAAAAAATCAAACCCAGTCAGTCCTCCTCCATGCCACTTAGTTAACATCAAAAGAAAATAAGAAATGCAGTGAGATATTACCTATGTGTTCTGTAAGCTGCCCACATTAAAGGTGTCATTCCATTTTGATCCATCATATCTACATCCTAAAATAAGAAGAAAATATTTTGTATTTTGATGAGATAAGTAAGCATGCTCAAGATACAGAAGCTACAAGGTTTGCAGTGAGAAGCAGTATTTTAAGACTAACCAACTGGAGAAAAACTGGCAAGCTTTTAGTATGTAATAAAATGAGGCATTTAAAAAATTAAACCAGACATTAACACCACCATTGCAAAAACATAACCATTCCAATCTATTTTGGAAACAAAGGTACAGTCATGCTGTATAAGACCAGCCATTCCTGTCTTACTATTAATCTTCAACATAAAAGATATATAGATGGTGTACTATTGCGCTCAAATGCAGGAGGAAACTAGAAACATGCATGAATATTTAATAAAACACTTGATAAATTAACATAAATACCATGGGCTGAATCCTATATCCTACTGTATGGTAGCTGCATCTATTTTTCCACTTGCAAAGCAATTTCCCATAGTTCACTCAGTTCCAAAGATATTTACAGATCTGGGTATCAAGTTAACGGATGCTAGAAAATTTTTAAGTTTAAACAAAAGCCATTAACAAAAATAACAGACACAGAAATAAAACTGACTTAGAAGCAAGTGGTGACTAGACTGACGGCTAAAATATTAAAAAGAAAATATTACATTTAACAGAACATAGCCACAGAATGACAAAACAGCACCATCCAGGCAATTCTTTTTAATTCATCATAAAGGATCTAATACCTAAGGCATTTTTTCCTGTTATAGATCTCTGCCTCACTAACATGGAAACTGGTAATCCCTAAATACATTGAGACAGATTAGACTCTCAAGCACATTTGGGCAAGTTCCAAAGACCATCACTAACAAAATTACTCTAATCTACCTTAATGCAAGATCTGAACAGTTCTACTTAGAGGCACTAGAACTATGCCAGTAATTTCTAGGCTGCTCTCCTCAGTCGCCACTAGGAAAATTAGGCTCAAAGTGTTTCAATAAAGTCTTTTGCTACAGAAACCCAGAAAGTGGATGATGTCACTTTCTATAACCCCAGAACCTTCTTCACTGCTCCAGTAGTCTGCCAAATACCCAGCACCCTGGGATCCCCACTCAAGGTGCTGCTAGCCTGACCCAGGCAGCTGTTTTCCAGGAAATCCAATTCAGTTCTTCCACAGGATTGTTTTTAAAGCTTCCCTGGCCTGCAGATCACTTTACATTTCTGGGTTTTTACTCTGCTGCTTAATTAAAAAAGAAATCAGCAATTTAAAAAGCAGTTGATGGAGAGGAAAGAGAGCCACTGCTTTATTGTACTATTTGTTCAGATGAGAGTTACATGCATTAAGATCAGGATCCAAGTCTGCTTGCCCACAGCACACATATAGATCAGATCCTTTTGAGCCTACTAGGACGGCACACCCAGCATGCCCTTTAACCTCCTGTTGTTGAGATTGTGAAGGAAATTAGAACTGCAGCCTAAACTCAAGTTCATTCATCCTTGAGAAGCACAACTTTGATTCACAGGTCACACTGTGTGAACAACTTATTTTGGAGACTGTGGAAATTACTGTAACAAGAACAATGACTCTTTCATCTTGAGATTCCATACACAAAAGCTGTTCTTCATAACAGCTGGGACCTGACTGCCCCAACCTAAGCAGAACCATTTCTTTCAGTGGTTCTACCTGACCAATCAAAACTACACTTTGCAGACTAGGTGACACTCTGCTAAAAACAAATCCAAGAGCTCCAGACTTTGCCCTGCACATAATTTATCCAGGCAGGATACAACTATTACTCATATTAGGCTACATGATGGGCTGAGGCAGATCCCTTTTCAAAGGAACTTCAATAAGAGGCAAAGCAACTAAGATTGGCTTGCATACTGCTGTATAGGTAGAACAAAGATGACGCAGCTGTGGATAGCAGACTCCTGCTTTAACAAACCTCTCATCAAAAATTCTTCGTTATTTTGACAGCTCATTACTGCAACCACACAACAAGTGGGACATTTCAGAAAGGAAGCCCTTCTGCTACTTTTTGCCAAAGGGCTGAGGCAAAAAAGTAAACTTTCAGCAGCAGGTACATTAGGAGACTGTTCTTCTGTTTCGGTGTGACAAGCATTTTTGCATTAGTTACTTGTTTAACTCTCAGTGACAGGTCAATCTGATAATGTTCACGGAAGGGTGTATCTATGCTGTTAGGACACAGTACAAGCATTGCAAGAACCAAAGATTTCAATAATAAGTGATGCAATGATAAAAATTTGCACGTCTTGCTGCCCTGTCTATGTATTTCAAGCATGAACTCTGTGGACCACAACCAGAAGATTTTTTTCATTTGTTTCTGAAATAGAGCAATCTAGTACAAGATTCCACAAAAAGCTTTTTGAGAGGCAAAAATATAGGGGAGAAAGAGCTTCCTGCATGGAAAGGAGCTGTAGCAGCTGTCCTGCTACTTAACACTACTTTCTGAAAACAATGTAGCTGACAAGGTAGGATTCTGAATAGCAGCTAGAGATCAGAGCAGCATTTCGGCTTACCAGGACTTTTAACAAGCAGTGGTCAAACCAATACTGAGATACAATACGCCCTTTTCAAAAGCACAAAAAGCATCAAGATTCCACTTAGAAATGCATTAAATTGCATAGGAATTTGATACTCTTTAGAACCATTGCTGGTTATTTCACAAAACACAGACCTTCATAGAAAGACTCATCATGTCCTTGTTCAGAATCCTGTCTCCACAGGGAAAAGATCTCTTTCACATGGACTGTTGCCCAGAGAAAGAGAAACGGGCTTCTAAAGAGATAACATATTTAAAAGCATATACTAAAGAAGATTTACAAGAAAGAGAGATGTAAGGCTGAAAACATTTCCTAACTTAGGGAAGACACATTAGTTATTCACTAGAAGAAGAGATTTTGTAGGATTCTTGTGGAATGAACAGGCAGGCAGCTAGCTCATCAAGCAAGGTAACACACAGAACTGAACTACTTTGTTCTTTCAAACAACAAAAACTCTGTTCTGAATACTACAGTCCATCAAAAGCAGAGTTAGTCTGGGTAATCAGGAGGAAGAAACATGACTAGACTTATAATTCTGTAAATGATGTGCTATAGGTTGGGTCTAGGACATAAATACTTGATTCAATGTATAACACTTGTCTAAGCCTGATGGAGAGAACAATACTTAGTGCCAACAGAGCTAACAAGTGCTTAAAGCACTTCTCACAGGTAGCAGCACCAAAGTAACCATGGCTGCTGCTACCACACTGGCACCTCCCAACCTAGATATCAACTAATTCTAGGCCATAGCTCAGAAAAAAGCCCTATGTAGCTCAGGACAGTAGTTAACACATAAAACTGCAACTCTGAGAATAATAAAAAAAAATACATACTTCATGAATAAGTGATAAACTGTGAGTACAAAATAGTTAAACTATAACTTCAGCTCCGCAATATTTCTTACAACATGACTTTACCCTACTAGCAACTTTATTATCTGTGACTGAGGTTCTCTCACATATACCATGGAATGCGAACACTACTCAACCACCGACATACCACATCCATATATTAACTTATTCTGGGGTGCCATGTTGGTGTCTGCTATGCCCTGATACACCTTTGGCATTTTAAGTAGCGTAGGTAGCGTAAGCAAGTAGTACAAGCATCAATTTGGAACATTTTAAAATGCCTTCAAGCTCTTTTCAGTTTTTCTTTCTGGCATTTTTTCTAAAATAATCATCTTACCTAAAACTTGAGCTGTGCTGCAGATTCTGTTACTTGCTATGTGATTATATTTATGTCATGTACTTGCCCCAGGCTTGATTTTGACCCAGGAAATCTACTGACACAAACAACACGTGCAAATTTTGATACAGCCAGGTATTAGTCTCTCAAAATTCAGCAAGAGACATGACTAAATAAAAAGCAACAGCTATCAGCCACTGTTGCCTCTTGGCCGAGTAGTACTTGCTGGCACTGAAAGTGGGTTCACTTCCAACCAAGGCCAGACGGCATCTAACCAAGAGTTCTTCCCCTACCCTACACTGCAGAAGGTCAAGGACGGGACTCGAGCCTCAGATTGGAAATTTTACTGTTGGCTGCTGCAACCCAGGAAGCCACTGAAGCAGAAACACTGAAGTGGGTTCCAGCGTTGTCTCTAAAGGGGACAGAAGCAAGTAGGAGCAATTTCTTAATCTACCTGTCAGTTCTCTACATAGTTATGAAAGCTGGCTCTCCTCTGAACATGCAGGTCCACAAAGGCAACAGGATCAGAACTAACGAAGCACAACAGCCTACACTGACATTTATTTTGACGTTTTAGTTGTCATTTACCACACAGGTACTACAATTAAGGTTCAGAACTAGGGCAAACCTACTCTTTGGCTAGAAGAGAAACTGGTCTCTGTAAAGATAAAAGGCAAAAATAATTCGCAAGTAGTACATAGTGTAAGCCCACATAAGCAAAAGCAGTTCAAGTTTCCAAACCCAAGTCACAGCATCACAAAGGAGGTAAAAATACATAAAAATTAATAAAAAGTAGAATCATGTATTTCCCACAGCTTCTACAGAAACCATGTTGTTTCTGTAGTTCTATGTAGTGTAGCTGAAGAACTATGAGTTTAGGGATTGTTATTACATTGCTATTGACATTACTACATTTTAAACATACCATATTTTAAAAATGCAAATCAGTACATAATTTTAAAGTTGAACTTCTTGAAGTGCTTCCAAAAACTACTGTTAAAATTAATTCGAGCTTACAGCACGGAAAGGATACCAAAACCATATTTGATAACATAATATTTGGGGATTTTTAGTAAGTGTGTTTATGTAAGTACACATGTGAAGACACACAGCTTCTTTTGGACTGAAGTATTATATGCTCAGATAAGTAGGACAAGTCTGTATATAAACATAAGGACAAACAAACATTTACAGGTAGATTTCACAACGACAGTAGAACATTTTAAAGGCCATTTATACTTCATTAATGCTATGCTTTAAATAAATTCACACTTGTTATGCAAGTTACTATGTTATACATCTGCAAGATTTTTCTGGTAACATAAACCCACATACACTTATAAGTAATATGTGTGCAAAATACAAAACTTGTTCTGATGGAAAAAGCATTTCTCTTCAATCATTATCACTTACAAATAGCAATCATATATGGTCAGACTCTTCTTGTGCCATGCTTACTCTCTATCATACACTCAGAGTCCCAAACACAACCTGAATACTGCATGGAGCAACAGTTTATTTTTTTTACATGTATAGGAACAAACCATGTTCTGCAGCAAATTTTGTGTTTTACACAGACGAAACCCACTGATTTCATAGCCATATTCTATCTGACTCACTGGAACATATCTCACTTGCTATTTGAAAGGGCTTTGATTTTTCTATATGGTTTACAAACTAAATAAAATTTGTGCTTCAGGCACATATCTGAGGGTGACTAAATTTACAAATTATAATGAAGAATGAGTAACAAAAAGGTGAACATTTCTGAGCACACATGGAAGGACAGGAGGCAACGAGAACAGTAATGAATACGCATGCTATATACACACTTTACAGATCCAGCAGTAATATAAGAGACTAGCAAGAAGGGTTTTGGTTGTTTTGTTTGTTTAGTTACTTGGTTTTCTTTGAGTTTTTTATTTACACACACATGCACAACTAGTAACAGCAATAAATAAAAGTTGTGGACTGAGGTGTAAAAGAAGATATAGAAGGTATGACCTATGACAACTCTGTGTCATTAAATTCTTTACCTGTGTGTAACCTGATGATTCTACAACTTCTAAAACATTTGCTATCATTGTCACTGTTAACATTTAAAGATGAAATTCACTAGAAAAAGAATGGTAAAAGAATAACTGCTAGAATTTCCATACACTACCTGAACAGGTGCGAATTAAAGCCAAAGTACTCAGACCACTTTTAGAAGAAATTAAGTTAGGAGGTGGCACATCAATACTGTAGTTTACAATGAAAGATACTGAATTATCTTTATGTTCAGTCAGGCAAATATTATGCATTTCCTGAATGATAGGTATAGGTTTCAACCGTTTTCCTAAGTAGAACCTATTTAAATATGGTATTACTTAAAATTTACCTGTCCCTTTGCTATAAGGTAAGCAACGATCGAAGTATGTCCAAACTGGGCAGCCAAATGAATACAGCTACACCCTTCTCCATCAATTAGCGACGGATCTGCCCCATATTTCATCAGCTGTACAACCATGGATAAGTGACCCTGTCTAAAGATAACAAAACACAAAATACAAACAACTGAATAACAATACACAGAAAAACTACTAGAATTTGAATACAAATATATTTAGCAGATTATACTACCAGAGATAGATATTATACTACCAGAGCTTCCGCATTTCAACTCATACTTTGAAAACAATCGTCATGATCCAATTCTGCAACTGAGTAAGGAAACTCATTCATAAGAGCAAATTCTGTGCAGTCAATGCATTCATCACGTGCAATTCACCCAAGTGTGTTGTATAGCAAAAAACCAGTCAACAACAACAACAAGAAAAGTTTTAAGTTTAGAAATTTAGTTTACAAGTCTAGTCTACTGTGACTTCTTCCAATCCACATATGAAACTTGCTATTTTAAGAGATGTCAAACTGGCTATATACTCTCACTTTTTGTGGGGCATATGTTTTATCTTTCTGGTATTGAAAACAGTAGTGAAATAAAAATAGGAATTAAAAAGGGAAAACCAAAGGCCTACACTTCCTCCACACTACATTAAAAGCTTAAGCATCTTTTTGGCATAATAAGCATAGGCATATCCTTCTTGCAGACACAGCGCCTAAGTGTCGACATACAGTTTCTGACATGAGCAAAAAGGCCTTTTCAATCTGTCAGAAGCAGCTTCAGGCATTGCTTCACAGAACAGCAGATTACAGCTATGAACACCAGAAAATTTAATCGAGCTTTTGTGCTATTAACACGGAACTTAGAGAGTGATCTGTAACAAAAAGAAATATACAAGCTAAACTCTATAAGGGAGGCTAAAAAGCAAATCCTCATCTTAGTAAACAAATTACTTTGACACGTTAAATGTTTTAGAAGCTATCTTTCTAAGTTTCCTTTTGTGATCTACAGTAAAGATATTATTATGGACAGCATTCCTTTGTATCCTATTTCTAGGTGGCTGTGTGAAGGTGCAGCTACTACTCAAAGGCTGTCTTCATTTTTCCCAGCCATTAATTATTCTCTGACCATCTTCTACATCATTAAATATGACTTTAAGTGCATCTTAAAAAGTTCTACACACACAATCAAACTCTGCAAGGACAATGACACAAAAATCATCCCAAGGCCCATCTACACAAGGGTTGCTGAACTTCAGCAATAGAAAATCAGATCTCCAAAGTAAGATTAAAACAAGGTGAGTAAAGACTCAAGGTGACTATAGACTCTAATTTTACTTTACTCCTTTCCTATCATAGTAATTAACTTCCTCAACATAAGAAAGAGGTAAGACAAAAACTGAACTGTATGCTGAAAGCTCCTGTAGCCCAATCATACTACATACACAGTGTGCCAAAGTTAACAATGGCTGAATTAATTCTTGTACAGTGTATTCCCATAAAATATGGCAATTTCATAAATTGATTGGTAGATATTCCAAATTAAACACAAGAAAATTCCAGAAGACTTTTCCCCACCTTGTTGCCCAGTGAAGTGGGGTAGAATTTAAATCTCCTCCAAGCTGATCAACAATAGCACCTTTTGATATATAGTATCTGGAATAACAGAAATAGTAAACGTTATTGTTTGCCTTGGTTAAACATAGAGGATACACAGTAAGCACATTTGATATTACACAAAACAGGCAGACACAGACCAGAAGACAAGAACCATTTCTTGCCTTGATATAATTTCCTTCTCTAGAGATCATGCATATACATTCAATTTTTTGCCTTTTTGATTCAGGTTGAGAGTAGGGATACTTTCTGCTGTGTTACTGCATTTTAAACATTCTATTTCCTAGTTTGGTTCTACGGTAAAACAAAATAATTGCTATGTAAGTATGTTAGTGCAAATTATGCCACCACAGAAATATTTAATAAAATTGATTCTTCTAAAATATTTAGAGGTTGCTGCATTAAAATGAAGTACTGGTACAAGAATATGCTGCTAGAAGACTATCGTATATCCAGAATTTTGTCTAATGGCAAAATTATACACAATTCAACTTGCAGCACGTATCACCTCTGGAATGGCCCTGCCATAGTCTTTGTTCCAAGAGCTTACACTTAAGTTACACATTCAGCCAAGAACTATGGTTTTTACATACTTCTCATTTGTTATTAATCAAAGGAAAAAACATCTGAGTATTTAAGACATACTTCTAAATGATGGGCTAGAAATTATTTTTCTCTCAAGAACATTTATAATAAAAATACAAGCTACCTGTAGGAACAAAGCAAATTATCCATATTCAATCACAGAAATTTATACTCACAGTCATTTGTACTGTTTCTGTGAACTGTTTTTCTTGCTGTTCTATATGGGGCACTAAACTGGCAATACGACTTTTCCTTTGTGAAAGAAAATGCAGACCTTACAAAGAAATTAATGTTTTTAATAAACAGGCTTCCTCAGAAGGCTTCTAGTTCTTCATTCACTACTATATAAGCCAATGTCAAAAAAGCTATTACTAACAGACCTTTGAAAAATACTGTCTGGCTATAGATGCCTAAGTGGTTGCACATTTCAAGTACCTGTATTTACAGACTTTTTGCTTTCAAAATACCTGCCAGGTATATATAAATGCTGATCTCACACCCTCACAAACTGTCCTTCAAATCCTCAGCACTGTGTTTCTGGCACCTCAATTTCCTCCAAATATTTTAAGACATGGGAAGAAGGGCAGCAACAAATAGAACTATCTGAAAAACATCACTCTAAGTAACTACCTTCTTTTCTCTAGTGCTTATTGATTCAGAAATTTCAAAAACAACCCAAAAAGGTAACTTTTGGAAGAGAAACTGAAAAATGCATTAGCTATATGTGTCCACACTAAAAACATCTCAAGGAAAAGTCTTTATACAGTTGCTTTAGAGCCATCAGGCACAACGAATAACTTCAGCAGACTTACCAAGGTCGTATAAATTCTTGTTTGTATGATAAACAAGATCTGCTCTGATTGTCCACTCTGCTTGTCTCCAACAGCGGAAGAACAACATTGCAACATCTCTTTTCTGAAGTTAAACTTTTTGAAATCTCAATGAGAACAACCAAAGGTTTTTTGAAAGTCTTGATACATAGAAAAGACAAGGTGGTAGGTGAAAAGATAAGGTGTATATAAGGTAAAGGGCCAATGTAATTTTGTTATTGTGGAGCAAACTACCAGCTACCAAAGAACAAAGCTGAAAAAGATACTACGAAGCTATTCAGTCTCCCTTGGGAAGGAGTTCCCAAGGAAATCTTGTCTAGATGAAAGACAGTACAGAGAAATTCACAGTCAAAGCTTGGAGCCATCCCGTTGATGTGACAGCCACTCATGGGGAAGTGAACATTAAACAGATTGTCTTCAATCAAACACTGGTCCCCGCAGAAACACAGAATATGTTCAGATTCTACTGAGCAGCAGCACTGCTTACTGGTTAGTGTGTTTTATTTAGAAGGAAGAACTTGCAGTTTGACAACTGGGAAAAGACAAGGCAGTGATCTCCTGCCAGATGGCACACTGAAATATCATTTTATGTTTCCTTAAGGGTGTTCTTAGACTAAGCTGAGATTTATCACTGCATTTCAGATTCAGTACACAAAAATGGTGAGTTTTTTTCTGCAAAACCAGACTGAAAACTTAATCTCCTTGTCTAGGTAGATCTTGGAGAAGGAACATTGTGCTTGATGAGAATGTCCCTGGTAAAAGGAAGAACTGGGCAAGTCTACTCTTAGTGAGTCATCTAAGCTTCCATGCTAGAAGATGCCAAGTGTGCAAGTCCTATTTAGGCAATCTACTTACATTCAAAGTAAGCAGATCTGAAAAGAGGTCGCCTTAAGTAAATACTTCCACTGATATCCACATTAGGACCACTAAGTCTTTGTCAGGCATTTGAAAACTGCCCCAGCTTGCATTCAGTGCTTGTAGAATCAAAGTACACACAGTCAATGTTGCTAGAAGGAGGAAACGTAGAAGAGAAATTCATGTCCGGACAAAGTTCAAAAAGAGAACAGGGAAATGCAGGCAGCAGGTAACTGTAGAGATACAGTCAATTTTTTCATTTTTATAAAACTGAGTTGAAGACAGACCAATAGATCAGCGTCATGAAGAAAAAAGAAGTTACTCTGTGGATGTCTGACACTGATGCTATAGAACTAAGAAAAGGATCTGTAGTTTTTCCTATAAAATATCAATGGGTTTCACCGTTTTCTAGATTGAATCTCAAGTCTCAAAATAGACAGCAGGAGGAAATACTAAAAATAAGACAAGTCTAATTCTAAACCTGCATTCTCCACAGACAAGCTGCTAAGCTACTTCATCGGGAAGACCTTACATAGTCAGCATACCCAGTAAGCAAAGCACTGGAATCTGGTATCATGAGAGCAGACCACTTACACTTAGGCTCCATCTCTGTGATACCAAGCTTACTAGCCAACATATTTAATGAAATTATCCATTGCACACAACAGGGAAATAGCAGACACTTGGGTAAAAAAGTGATAGGATCAAATAAAACAAAAATAATTTCATTCTAAGGAAATAGAATAAACAATATCTCACAGAAGAGAGAGTAAGAGAGCAAGAGACCATATGATGTGCTGGGTGAAATAAGCTAAAATAAATCAAGACCCCCTAAAGACAGAGGAACTTAAGAACATAGGAACTGCATCAGGAGGAAGAAATTCTAGACATAGCTAAACACATTAGTAGTCACGTGCACTCCAGTAAACAGCATGAGGAAAATGTGATGCAGTATGTCACAGTGGTAGGGAAGCTTCAAGAAGGGACAAGAGCTTTGACATATTGTTGAACAAAAAGGAAGAATGAGGCACATTAGATTTTATTGTCAGGGCTCATAGTAAAACAACTTGAAAGAGACAAGGCTGGTACAATTAAAACTATGTTGAATTAAAACCCTCAGAACAAGTTTCCAGAACTCAAACATAGGTGGAGAGATCTTCCTAACATATAACAAAGACCTAACTGGCAATTCAGACAGATGTAAGCACAGACTTCCATCTATCTGGATGTAGCATTTTGAAGCACCTCTATGTCAAATATAATTGCTGTAACACTGAAATTGTTAGCAACATGTTTGGGGGGTTAGGGAGGAACAAAAAAGCAAAACACACCACAAACTACTCACATGCTGAAGTACTTTTCATACATTCAGCTTTAAAGAGGACCAATGTGGAATTTAAAATTGGGCCAAGTTTACTCTGTGAATGACAGAAGGTCCCCAAACACACTTTTGGGAGGAGAGTTTCTTTGTTGTTGTTTCTTTAAGAAAAAAAAAAAAAACCAAATATGTTTTTTTCTTAAAGAAAAAGCTGTAGAATACATAAAATGCTAGTGAACTAAAGCATAAGTCATAACCAAGTATCATGCAGGTAGATTCACTGCATTGCGAAGCTTAATACAGAAACCATACATACATAAATTAATACAGAAACATTACCCACAAAATAGGCCTATTTTTTCAAATGGCTCATGTTTTTAAATGATGATAGTTGTCTCAATGCTATTCACTTTTCAGACCCACAAAATGAGATGGAATATCTGTAATACAAATATGGCTTCCAAAGAAGTTCAAATAAGATGAACAATTCACTGCACGTAATTCATTATGCATTCAAGATGGATAAAAAAGTGAGCTCAAAATATAACAACTGCTTTTAGATGCTATACTTTTCTTAAAGAAAAACAAGTATCTGAAAAATTGTATGCATTTCAGTTATTTCACAGCAAGTCAGAGCCATAAAGACCTAGGATAACCCAGCAGGAAAATGGAATGAAAAGGAAGAACATGATAGGATCTATAATGTACTCTCACAAAAAAAGCCAAACCAGGTTATTTAGGTAAACCAGGGTCCTGCATCACTTTTGCAGGAGGCTCTATTTCAGTGCGCCAGAAAGCACATTGGTTACCTATCTTAATATGAAAGGAAGATACCAAATACAGAATTATGGTTTCCATTGTAAGCTTCTACCCACAATAAAGACATAAAACCTATTGTGATATCTATTGTGCATAATAAAAAAAATTTCTTTCAGAAAAGAAATCAGTTTGGACGGGACCTTTGGAGAGCACATAGCCTAACCATCCCTGTTCAAAGCACCTAGACCATGTTGTCTAGGACCATGTCCAGTTGGGTTTTTAGTATCTCCAAGGGTGGAGAGTTCACAACCTCTCTGGGCAACCTGTGCCAGTCCTCAGTCACCTGCATGGTAAAATAAGTGTATGGTAATGTTCAGACAGAATTTCATGTGTGTACATGCCCTCTGCCTCTTGTCTTGCTGCTGGGCACTACTGAGAAAATTCTGGCTCTGTCTCCTTTACTCCCTCCCTTCAGGCATTTATATACATTGATAAGACGCCAAGTATTATATCACCAGGTATCTCAGGTACTTACACATATTGATAAGATCCTTTTTGAGGATCTTACACTAAAACAATAAGCCTTCTCTTCTCTAGGCTAAGAAGCCGAAGCACTTGCAGCATTTATTCATGTCAGTTGATCCAGTCACTTCATCGTCTTCCTGACCCTAGTAAGTTTGTATCTTTCTTGCAAAGGGGAACCAACAACTACACACAGATGTCCAGCTTCAGTAGTCAAGGAGAGAGGAAGAATCACCTCCCTCAACATGCTGGCAAAGTTTTTCTTAATGAGGCCCCATTACCACTGTACCACTGACCTTTTCTGCCACAAGGCTGCATTGCAGTCAGCTTCCCCAGGAAGCTCAGGACCCCAAAGTCCTTCTCATCAGATCCAAATCTTAACCTATTTACCTGTCTTCATCCATTTAACCACGTTTTAAGAGAACTGCATCAGGACACTAAGTCCTTTAAAGACAAGAAATGTGAACCTGAGATCTTCTAGAAACTCAAGATTTGGTCTGATGAAGGTGCTGGTGGAGGACATACATGGGGAGAACATGTTTAAATGAAGATGTTTTGCATTTGGTTTTACGTGTAAGTACACACATTCATTAATAAGAATTGTTTTGAAGAAGACTAAAGATGTGCACTTTATGTCATTTTTTTGCAGTTCATGGTAGAGGGAAAAAAACCAACATGTTCTATAGACACTCATGATTTGTTAAACAGCAAGTATTAAGACTTATCCCTTCAGAATTTAAGCTCTCCAAGTTCTGAAAGATAATAATAGGTTTGAAAACATAGTCTCAAATACTACGCTCTAGATTTTATTAACTGAAAAGCAAAAGAATACCCCAAATCCCACATCTCCCATTATTAAAGATCTTATTATTAATCGCAAGGAGAGGTGCTGCAATGTTACCTTCTGTAACAGCTGTGTTTTTAAAATGCAATGAATTTATTTAAGTTAGAACTTCTTAAAATGACGAATCAAGTAGGAATTACCCCTTGCCTCATGTTAATCTTGCTTATTCAACATTCAACTACCACCTAGTATCAAACTTCTCCTTCTTAAAAAAAAGAAATTTGGTATTTCAACCAAATAAAGAATAAAGAACCAATAAAGAAATTGCATGTGCAGCTTACTATCTGTTCCACAGGTTTACCTCATCTGATAAGAGTTTGAGCTTCACTTCTGGACATATAACAGGTTTTATTTCTATTACCTGTGTCATCAAAATATTGCTGCCAAAACGCAAAGTGGGTCAGCAACTTCTTCCCCCTCCCCCTGACTTCAAGACCAAAAATCGATATTTCAAGAGACTCAAGATTATTTAACACCTTAAAAGAATTCAATATTTGTTAAGAGCATTATTAGTTTATGTTTAATTTAAAAGCATAATACATACTTCACCAGATCTATCCTGTTGTTGATTGCAGCCCAGTGGAGGAGCGTTACGTTTTCTTTGTCTGGTTGTCGTACATCATAACCTGCTTCCACCAATTCTCTACATCGTTCGTATATTCCATACCTTGAAGAAAAAAACCAAGATTTTTCAAAGCTGTTACCTTACATAAAAAAGCATTTGGCAAACATCATACTTACGGTCACAATACAAAAGCTTCCATAGAGGAGAAATGAAGAAGAAACTTTACCTTCTGTTTCTGTAAGATTAGAGATCTCTTGCAACAAGAGGCTTCCACTGGCAGAAGTTATATTAATCAATTTGAGATTTTACAGAAAACTTGTCTGCACAGCAATCTATACAGCAGAGCAAGGCAAAATATCAGTCAGTAGTGCACCAAGAATAAATACAACTCTTCTCTTCCCAGGGCCTCCACTACATTTGTTTCTCTCACCTCTGTTCTCCTTCCTTTCGATCTCCTGAAGACCAAAAAAGCTTAGCTGACTGATTGGATAGCATCTTACTAAAATTCAGCAGATGACAAGATCATTAGGTTAATTACAAACACTAACCAAGCTCAAATGCTTCCCATTTTTCCTCTCAGATAACAAATAGCAATCTTCCTGATACAAATTAGTATCATTTTCTTTTATACACCACTTCAAAATTCTACAATTTAATATTAAATTCTTTCATTAAAGATGACTATTAAATGTGAGCTACCTTCAATGGAAAAAAACCCCATTTGCATACATTTTGCAAGCTGAAACAAATCAGGAAGCATAAACATCATGTAAGTATCTCATTCAGGACTAACTCCAGCATTAAATAAAGTTTGACTTGATGCTTACACTGTTTTACTGTCTATTTTTAGTGGCAATAAAAGCAGTTCAGGAAAGCAAGTAATGATTACATTTCAACAACTCCACAACCCATAGGGATTTCTCAAGTCTCAAGGAGGAGACTGATGTGTGTGCACATCCTGAAATCAGGATCACTGCCTTGTGACATCTGACTTCTGCTAGAGCAGAATTTTAACAGCCTCTTAAAGTTTGAATTTAAGTAAGTTTTCCTTATGCTGCTTCTGTGTTCTACTTTCTGCAGAAGAGACAGCCTTAGGCAACTTAAGGCTCTTCTGCTCTACTTGATCAGCTCTCATAACTGATGGATAGACCTTTATTCCAGGGCAGTTACTTTTTCTGACATGTATTTGAATGGATCCTCAATCTGGACAGCGCTCCAATGGTGACTCAAGTCAACAAACCTCAGGAATGCTTCCCAAGCCTACCAGAGGTTTGAAGCAAATAAACCAGTGCACACTACTAAAAAAAAAAAAAAAAAAAAAAAAAATATTACTAGACATAACAATCTACTTAGATCATGTTGCTTTCAATTTATTAGGAAAGTTGCACTAGAAATCATGAAAAATGCTAGAAATTGCTGTCATACCTATAATCTTTCCAAACACCACAAAAGATCAGAACGAAGACTGTTGCGTGCAGTACATTCCAATTGGCAACAAGCCTGTAAATTTTGGTCCCTCAGACTGAGTAAAAAAGCAGCAGCCATGAATAATTTTCACAACAAAGCTTAGGGTTTAATCACTTATTCGCAAAGGGGAAGACAAGAGGTTTGGTTTACGAAGTCTTAGAAATATGCAACCAGCCAGACAAGATACACATAGTGAGACACACATAACTGCCAGGAAAACTGGTAAGGCTGTAAGCCTGGCAAATCTTGAGATGCACTATCTCTCAAATCCCAGTCTAGATCAGCAGTGTGGTCTGGTGAATGCTTGTTCAAATGTTCAAATGGCTTAACATATACCATTCCTGACTTACCCCCACTTCGCAGCTGAAAGGGCCAAGAGATATGAAAATGAAAAAAAACTTTAAAGTGAGCATGAGGTATATAGCAATTTTTTATTTAAGTCACCATCAGTCTGACTGTTCCTAGCAATTTATTTCAGTATCTTGGATTCAATCATAATGGATTACAAAAGATGTAACACAGAAGGTATCATTTAATAAATTTCAATTTACTAAATTGTCACAAAAGGACTTAAGGACCTGGACAAACAAAATTTGCCTAGCAAAATAGGTTAAGAATTTACAACAATTTGCTCCTCTTCCTGGCAACAGCAGGCTCTTTACAATAAAATAAAACACTGAATCCAATGCAGTCATGGCTTCTTGAGCTCTGCCCTATAAATCTTCTCTTACATACTACCTATAGTCTTCTTCCACTGATTTGCTGCAGCTGACTTCACCTTGCTTTCTCCAAAGATTCATGATGCACTGCTAGGCTACAGAATGAGAAAGTCATCTCTTTCAGACACTCAGCATAATTGTGCTTATGTTATAAAAAGCTCTTATGCCCTTCAAGAGCAAGGAATGGAGGAAAGGAGTCAATCCTCACAAGACACTTATGTACTAATCTAACAAATTTTCAGCATCTAGCTGTATTCTAGAGGGTGACTGTCATGCTGTAAACATCAATATGAAGTATAATTAAAGCATCCTACTGAGCTTCCTTTGTTCTGAAAGAAATGGAATTAGTTTTTCCAGGGCAAAAATACCACTGTGCAAGCTTGTTTCACTATTACAGTCTCTAAGCCATTTTGGTAACTAACCTGTAACATTTTATCTGTCATTGCAGGTTAAAGATATTCTGAATTTAATACTTTCAAAAATAGTACCCTAGAAGGCTTTTACGTTTTACATATGTAATCCATTCTTTTAATCTTTCTTCTGCAAGCACATTGACTCTTGGAAATAGACACTGCCAGCTTTGTCACATGATTAACATAAAATTTGGCCACAGTACTAGGAAGGAATCTCTCTTCAGTGAGCACATCACCATGCCAACAGCAGGTAAGCCAAGAGCAAACTCTCTCACCTTATTGTCATTGTAACTCCAATCAAAGCTGTTTTATCTGGAAATGCAATTAGTAGAAAAATGATCCGGTTTTATCTTTTGAAGTCTCATTCCCATGAATGATGGTGGTTAAATACTAACAAAGCTTTTCACACCTTCTCATGGGTTTTGTGTTAAACAGCAAGATAGTTTTGTTTTCAACAGCAAAGGGACAACTCAAGAGCTGCTTAATGAACCGTTAACAGTGATGCTGAGAGACAAGAGAAATTCGGCTCTTGCATGTGTTCCAGAGCCACAAATTGTCTAAATGGTTGTGGCTATATTAAGCCTTTCATGTGAAGTTCAGACACATTTCACTTTCAGCAATATAATCGAACTCCATGGGCACAAATGACCAGGCATATAGAACGTGTACCTGTGTCAGTATCTGCCCATCTTCTCCTGTAAATAGCTGAAAAAAGCCAGGAGTAATTGTCACTTTGGCCAACCCTCACAGATTTAAATTATTCCATATGTATCCTATTTTCTTACCAGTTACCCCATGAATCACGACAAATCATGAGGAAAAAAGTGTGTTCTCTGATGTATCCGAGAACTTTTTTCCTGAGCAAGACTCAGCATATTTCATCTTTTGTGCTGCACTATTTCACAATGCACACAATTTCGTTTTCAATGATCTCAATGAATAAAACTAACAGAAAAGTTAATCTTGTGATAATGAAATCTTAACACTTAAGCACAAGGAATCAATCTTCCAGGAGTCACAAAAGCACTCATTAATATCATTAATGTTTAATACCTATGTTCATAGTGGTTATTTGACAGACTTTCAGCATAGTGGGAATTTGCCCAGTTTCACTACAAGAAGAAGGTGCCTCAACAGAACTGAAAATCACAATGCAAGGATTAATCGGGCTTTGAGCAACCTGGTCTAGTGGAAAGTGTCCCTGCCTGCGGCAGAGGTATTGGAACTAGGTGAGCTTTACGGTCCCTTCCAACCCAAACCATTCTATGATTGTATGATTTTGTTCTCCTAGTCATAATCCCATATACTTCTCTACTTGTGAACATTAGCTACTTTTCCCTAGTTTCATGGCTTAAAAGATTTAAAACAACAAAGGCAGAAACTTCAAGTTATTATGTTAACACAGTACTCTCGCCAAGACATCACATTCGAAGTTATGATTCCAGCCTTGGATGACACAAGGTGCCAGAAGAGATAAACATACAAAACATCTCGCCATTAAATTTCACTTTTAAATCACTTAGGACTTTTTTTACAAGACTCCATCACCCTGCAGCCTCAGTGAGAGCACTGAATTCTATCTCAGAGAAATTAAACCAGTACACAGCCCTCCCTCTGATTTTGTAGAGGCAGAAGAAATTCAAACATCTTCTGTGCAATTAGAAGTGAAGTACTTATTAAGTATTAGTGTGCAATGTTCCTTCGTTGCAATCACAAAGGCAAGAACAGATGATTTTTTTACCACTCCTTTGAAAACAGGTTTTCAAATACATGAGCAGTCCAATTCTGCTTTCAGAAGCACAATAGTAATGTCGTGTGAACTAAATAATATTGCTAGAACCAACTTACACGATGCTGAGAGATTGCACATGTACTCAAACATCAGCAAGACAAAGGGCTAAGACACTACTACTTTTAACACTACCTACGTGCCTCTGGACATGTTTGTAACAAAGCCAGTGAAAAGTATCCTTTATAACAGTAGATACTAAAAGCCAGCACAAGTTTCTGCAAAATAAACACAGCAAGAGCCTATTTTTGGTATAAATCATGCCTAGGGCCCCACGCCTGTGGGAGAACTTATCAGGAACATGATGGGGAAAAAAATACAAATAGTGATAAACTCTTTGCAATGAGAACATCAGCTCAATCTCTTTTCCATACAAAGTCTTAATTTGATGGTAAGAGGTTATTAGATTTGTAGCTCATAGTGTATGAGTATGTTAATTTAATAAGTATCCTATCTACAGGCTAAGAAGATAAAGCACACAAACAGTTCAACAAGATATGAAAGAAAAAATACGTTTACATTTGGAAAAATGCACGCAGTTTGCAAGCTTTTATTTTCCCTTGCTGAAAAACACAAGAGCAAATGCATTATTTTACTAACATTGTTTTATTTCTCTGTAATCATATGTCCATAAACTCAACATCTCAAAACACAATTCTACAGTCAAACAGCACATATGGAGTACAGATGAGTTTTAAATCTTTTTATCCCATTCTTCATCATAATCTTTAATGTTTAAGGACCTACATTCCCCCTTTTTTGCAGAACTTTTTGTGGCACCTTACTTACATTAGCACTGAAGTAAGTCACCAGATATTTTAATCTAAATGAATATTGATTTTTGAGGACAAGTGGCAGAGGATAAGATCACCTATTCTTCATGTATATAAAAGAGATTATATTTCTACAAAAGTAACTACATTTTATTAGGAACTGTGTATCTTTTTTATAACAGAATTAATATATTAGCAGCATTATTTTATTTTTTATTTCAAGCATTATGATACTTGAGGAGTTTATTTTCTGCCTCAAATTTCAGAGATTTTTCTCTTTAAGACAGATGCTTTACATAACATAGCCTTCTAATCCCAGTAAATACTTAAAGGTGAGTTCTCCCTCTAGACAGGAAACTGCTGTCTGGATACCACAACTTGATCATATACACATGCTGTCCCCCTTCCCTGTGATATTAACCATCAGGGCTACGATACGGAACTATAGCCCTCTTCAGTGACATGTCATCCTCTCTGCAAATCACATCTTTCCATGACTGGAAAGGAACATAATGGATTACTCACAGCTCTGTTGATTCTTGTTTGAGGAGACTAGAAAAGAATTACAACTCAGCTGAAAGCATAATCAGTCTAAATTTGAGGGCTAGCAGGGACAAATGTGTTTTACGATTCCAAACATGCAATGAGCTTACAAGGACTGAAGCAAGTAATGTGCAAAACCACTTCTGCTGTCATATTTCCCTGCTTTTAAGAAGCAGATAGTTTGATGCTATGAAAATATTTTCATCTCTAAACCTTTTCTAACATGATGATTGTAGATCGTAGTATTGCTAATAAAGAATTTAGAGCAACAACTGCAGAGCCAGTCAACATCTATTTCATGAATTTAAACTCCTCACAACTCAAAAAGTGAAGGAAAGTACATACTTCCTAAACCTAAATGGGACCTATGTCACATGCAGAGCTGCAAAACTGCTTTCAATTGAAGAAGATGACTTTTAGGAAAAAGGAAAAAACTTCTAAGAGAAAAAAAAAAACAAATAGCTCAGCAAGATAAATAATAATATAAGCATACATACTAATGGTACAAGAAAATAAAAACCCTACAAAACTATTGCTTCAGCTCACTGAAGAAAAGTGACAGTCGTGGTGGTCTCTGAATGGTAAACAGCAGCAACCTAAAAAGTAGCTTTGTGACAATTCTTCAGAAAGTTTTGTGAGTTATTATGTACTACAGGACTGTGTAGAAGGCAAATTTGTATAATTCATCTGCACTAATAATGCAATTATTAAATTTGCCCACCATTGACTCCTACAATCCTTTCTCGGCAATGAACTCAGTTCCATACGAGCAGTGAAACTGCAGGATCAGAGACAATGAAGGAAATTACAGACACGGATTCCTTCTAACCTACAAATAATGTTGACAAATCAAGGAAACCCTCATGTCTGTGTATCAATGTTGCCCACTTACCTCTTAATCATCATCTACAGAAAATAAACATCACTACCAACAGGAAGAAAACCATATGTTCACTTCCAACAGTCTGTCCAGCAACCATCTATATTTACAATTTACCATAATTCCTAATGCATGTTTTCATACAGTGCTCATAAATTTGTCTTATCAGTAATTTTGTAGAGTTCACTTCTGAAATTTTCTGAAATCTTCCACTGCTTTATCTACAAAGACAGTTCACCTCCCATTGTGTGCCAATAAAATTCATTTTACTGGTTTTTAACTAATACAGAGACAGATAAATCTAACATTCAAAAATAAACTTACTGTGTGGCTTTGACAATGTCCCAAGTGCTGTAGTCGTCAATGTGGCTTTTCCGTCCAAGAGATTCGCTATACCCATGGTTGTAATGGCTTTGAGGCTTTATTTCCTAAAAAAGACAAAACTTGCAATTGGAACACCAAAAATCAGAATTACTGAAGTTCCTTAGTAAAAAAAGAAAAATAATAATGCTGTATGCAAACTAAACCCAGTAACCAGCTCAGTGAACTATAAATCTACCCAGATCTGTGGGTGTTGACTGGCCACATTTCTGCAACTTGCAAAGCAGGCCACTGCATTCCCTAGTATAGATTTCCAACACCTCCCAGAAAACACAACTTGTAATAGCAGAGTTCCATTAAAGCCTATACTGGGGTATGTTTATAGAACGTTAACAAAAAGTAAGAGCAATTTTTTTTGTTTGTTTGTTTAGTTTTAGGTTTTGGGGTTTATAAATGCAATGTAGCATAGCTAAAAAAAGCTACTAGCCATAAACTCACAAAGTCTTACTCTAACACAGATAAATGTTATACTTCAAATAGCATAGTCATGTCTCTTCTAGAAAACAAATAATTGGGAATGATTAATACCAGTGACTAGAGCCTACTGATTCTTTACCGATTCTTCAACTCCAGTCCCAGCTCTAGAGGTGATCTTTTTACGTTTAACCTATGGGTCTCAGAAATAAATGACGCAACCGTGACATACTCTTCGCCAGCTACAGCTCTCTACAAACTTTATTCTTTTGAAGAAAGGCAACACTTCAACCCTTAATGTTTCCCTTGGTGGAATTTATATTAAACCACTGTACTGACAGATCACTAGGGCAGCAAGATGCCATTTTTCTTTACAAACTACATGCATGTGAAAGTCAGCTCAGCGAGCTGGAATTGAACAATGAATTTTACATAGCTGCTATGCAATTTTCCATTTGTTACAAGTACTGTAGCCAACTGCCTCTGTATCAACCATGCAGTTAAGCACAGCCATGTAAAAGTGTGAGAACTGCGACAGTGAAGCAACAAAAGCAAACTCTCTGAAAGTTCTAAAAATACATTTCAAATTATTTTATTCAAAGGAACTATTTACCTTTACTCAGTGTTCCCCAACATATGAGCAGAAATGAGTTTCATGAGTACAAATTTTGTTTCTTCAATCTATACCTGGAAACACTGTTAAAACACCTTTCATAAGGTGTTTAATTAAAATGCTAACTTCCGCTTAGTTATTAAAATGAGTGATCAACATTTTCATTACTATACTAGACAGAGGTTTATTTTTTTGAAATAGATATCCTGACTCAAGACAGCCACGATATAACACACCTAAGCTGAACAAGGATTTGCAGTCACAAATCCCCACCACCTCTCCCCAAGAGGCATTAAGTTGCCCTGCTAGCTTGAATGATTAACAGATGTATCAGGGCTAGGGAGACTTCACAAAATCACAGAACAGTTTGGATTGGAAGGGACCTTAGAGATCACCCACTTCCAACCACCCTGCCATGGGCAGGCACACCTTCCACTAGACCAGGTTGCTCAAAGCCCCGTCCAACCTGGCCTTGAGCACCGCGAGGGATGGGGTAGCCACAACTTCTCTGGGCAACCTCTGCCAGTGTGTCATCACCCTCACAGGGAAGAACTTCTGGAGTAAACTATCAAGAAGGTAGTTTAGTTGCAAATCCCAAAACTCTCAGTAATAATTTCAAAATATAGTAACTTCAGTAGAGCATGTTTGTACTTGTTACATACCATCTACCTATTTCAGATAGGGAAATAAAAACAATCAAATTAAGAGAAATTCTAATGTATTATGTACATTTCGTAGCACTAAATTGTACTACATTTATGTAGTCATTTATATAGTTAAATACTTACGATTTCATACATTTAAAAAAAGTCAAGAAATTCAAGTGTTTAGAGCTTTTAAACCAACTACATAACACCACTAAGAACTCATGCGGCAAAAGTCTTCATTTTCAAAATAGATCTATCCTGATGGATATATTTTTCTTCATAATAATATTTTTTTCAATTTCACACAGTACCTGAATGATCAGGAGAGTGCATCTTTTCTTGAGCACAATGTTATTTTGTGCCATACATTTTTTCTTTCTAAACCTGCAAAACTAACTTGATTAACCAGTTAAGCATTGTCAGACCAGCAGGAAGGTTGCTCTGTTGCCATCTTTTCAGGAGAACCTAAGAGTGTAATACGGCATCTGCTGTCACCCAAACTGCATGTTACAACCAATGTTCTTACTATCCAGAAACACAGCTTCAACTTTGTATTTGAAGAAGGCAACAGCTTCACCAAACCTTTATTTCTCCCCAGCTACTAGATAAGGCAGTATTATCTGAAGAAAAGATGTTGGAAAAGGTAAAGAGGACATTACAATTAAAAAAAATGTAAAATAAAAAACTAAATTCATTATTTTGTCCGACATAATTTCCTCTTCTCCATGATATTAGGAAAAAAAAAAAAGTAGGATTTATACCATTTCTGTTCCCCTATTATTACACCACACAACCGCAGGAGGATTTTACCTATCAAATCGTACTGGTCAGATTGCAAAAAGCTAAAGAATAAGTCAAGTCAGCAGAGGCCAAAAAAAAAAAAAAAAAAAAAAAAGAAAAAGGAAAAATGAAAAATGGAAATTCATTGTCCTGCAGCACCTGAGAGTAGTTCAATGTATTTCTTTGCTTTCCGTAGCCAAAAGTCCCTCTTCTCATTACCTAACAGTTATTAAAAGCAAACTGACAAACCTGGGTTATTTTTCAGGCAGATGTTAATTTACCAGGGAACACTTATTTCTCTTAAGCTGCGTTTTCCTGAGCACTTCAAGCACACAAGCCAGGCTTCTGTTCCCTTGAGCCTGCAGCAGCCAGTCAAGAGAGCTGTCCATTTACAAGTAGTATAAATTCATTCCAGCCTAAAGTGATCAAGAAACCACAGCCTTCTGATAGTAATGCTTTCACAAAAAGGATTATGGGAATACAGCAAAATTTTAAGTATTAACTATTAACCATGTAAATTCAAAAAAGTAAGAGATGATATTCCTTATCCCCTTCTCCAGCTTAACAACTTTTACTAAGGACTGGAGGTAATGACGGTACCCTTAACTTTCAAAATTATGTCATTTTTGATCTCCTTTTATACTGACAGCATTTCTGAACTACTCTTTTTATGCTGAAACTTTCCGATTATATTAATGCAAAATAGATTAAGTGATTCCAAAGGTAGATGTGAGGTGATGGCAAATATGACTGCCTGACACAAAATGAGTAAGCAAGAAACAGTTCTCTCCCTCTTTTCCCCCAGAACATACATCAGCAGTTTGTATTTTACATGTAAGAACGGTTAAAACAATCCCTAAAATCCTGAAAGGTATGCAAACATCACAGCCTCCAACGTCACATAAGAGCCTTCACAGTATGAACTGTGGAAAAAGGATGACTTTAGATTTGCCTGAAAAGTTGATGCAAATATGGCTCATTTTGGAAGTAAATCGTTTAAGACAGATTCCAGGAAAGCATATAAAATCTGAATCTTCACCCAACACACTCGGTTTTCTGCAGTCTGGATGCAGATTTCCAAGCTCTAGAGTCAAAATTTATTACTTAGTATTATCTATGCAATTTGATAGTAGCATGCCGGCTACTATCAGTGCCATTCTACAGGATATAATTCTTACCCAGCATTGTAAATGCCTAGTTTATGACTGTGCTCTGCAGAGTTCCTAAGCCAACAAGCTGCCAGGAATTAAGATAAAGGAGAACCTGGATTTTGTGAATCACAGTAATACTTGATCCAAATCACCTATCACTGGGTGAATCCAGTCACTGCAAACAGTGTTGTTGCACACTACGCTTAGCTGGCAAGGCAAAATATAAGAGGCGAGGCAGCAGCTAGCAACAGAAAAGTACCTCTTCATTCCTAAAGAATTATTTTCAGGCTCTGAAAATCTTGTGCAGGGCTAGGGCACAGTACTATAAAGACAGAAAAGTGATTTCTCTTACTTATTCCAGAAAGAATGATTTAGAAAGAAATAAAAAGACTAACAAGTTAGTAAAACTTGTATAGACACCAGAACTCCTAATAAACCTACACATACTCACCTGTTAAAAGATACGGCTTAAAATAAAAGCAATAGATATGGCTTAGAATAAAACTCTGCTAAAGCTGAAGAACTAGCAACCACTTAGCCTCCCCACACCCTTCTTTGGCAAGTTCTATATTTTTCAATGTTTAGCAGGGCAATTTAAAGGACTGCTATTTAAAAAACCGTGGATATCTCTCTATACGCATTGCTACCAAATATAACAGCTTCAGCACAGCCACAACCACCAAACGCTGCCATAATACGTGCAGGCACAGCTTTAAGTCAGCAGCAGCTGCCTGAACAAAGCTGCCAGTGCCCAGGCACCATCACACATCCTGTTCAGCCTTAGCAGGCCCGACCTTAGGGGTGAGCTTGCCTAGTGTTAGTCATTCTGCATCAGCAGCTAAGCTAGAAAGACACTCTAAGTACAACATTCAGAAAGCATCTCTTTTGGGGGTTTAACACAAGATTAGAACACGTAAAATACAGATTGCTTCCTCCAACCTGCTGGACAGAAGAGAAGGCTCTGCTTAAAAATCTTACACTCATGTAGATTACTTGCCCACCATTATTAAAGAAACAAGCATTTAAAAAGTGGAAAAATATCATTTATATCACATTTACACCGTGCCTTTCGAAGAACTTAAGAGTATTGTCAGTTTCACTGTCACCATTTGGCTTTTAAGTTCTCACCTACAACAGGAAAGAATGAATCTTTCCTAAATTCATACACCCTCATGCAAATTTTAGGAAAATAGTTAAAATTCTTGAAACTAATACTTTTTTTTAAACATATGACAGATTGATAACAAAGTAACAACATGATGTCTTGAGCCAAGAAGACATACCACGTTCACAAATGCCTTCAACAATATTCCAAAGCGTTAAAACATTTTTACTTCCATGATGAAAATATTTATTCCTGCAGAATTTAACTTTACAATGATGATCCACTGTTAAGAACCACTAACAGCTAATTCAGAGATTAAAAACTAACTGAAAT